TTCATGTGTTATTCCTGTGTTATTACTGTGTTATCTGTGTTATTTCTGTGTGTTATTACTGCGTTATTAGTGTTATTACTGAGTTAATCCTGTGTTAGTCCTGTATTATTTCTGTGTTATTAATGTGTTATTTCCGAGTAATTTTTATTATTACTGTGTTATTCCTGTGTTATTCCTGTGTTATTACTGAATTATTTCTGTGTTATTACTGTGTTATTACTTTGTTATTCCTGTGTTATTACTGTGTTAATTGATGTGTTAATTCTGTTATTCCTGTGTTATTACTTTGTTATTCCTGTTATTTCTGTTGTCACTGTGTTATTCCTGTGTTACTTCTGTTTTATTACTGTGTTATTAATGTGTTCCCGAGTAAGTTCTATTATTACTGTTATTCCTGTGTTATTACTGCTTTATTACTGTTATTACTGGGTTAATCCTGTGTTATTACTGTGTTATTCCTTTGTTATATCTGTGTTATTAAAGTGTTATTCCCAAATATCTATAAAATATCAAAACAATCTGATTCACTCTTACAGTTCTCCGTTTTAAATATTAATATTTTAAAGCTTAACTCAAATAATAATAATTTGGACAGTTCTTCACGTTTTCCCCTCAAGAATGTCAGCCTTTCAATTAGATTTTGTCTTGTTTGTATAACACCACCCAGACATTTCTATTATAAGCTCAAAAGAAAAGAAAAAAAAAGTCAAAAGCACCTTTTACCTTTTTTTTTGACTTAAGTCACGTCGTCAAGCCATAAAAACATTGAGCCTAAACGATGTTAACTTGAAACCATAAGAGCCAGTCCAGCATCACTCAAAATGCGTCTCTTCCCATTACCACATCCTCACGAAGCCAGGAATAATGAACCGAGCTGATCCAGATGCCAGCTGCTCGTACACGGTGAATCCCTGAGAGTTTGATCTCTTGTGATCCCGGTTTACGTTTATGGTCGAATCTGAACAATAAGTCACAACTGTTCGTTAAAAAACATTAAAACTCTCGTCTTTTTCTACCACTCCCTCAAACATCAGACAACACGCAAATCTGTTCAGGGAACGTCGCGGTTTTTTTTTTTATTGATGATCCACGACGCTTGTTTATAGGAAATTACCATGGTATAAACATAACGCGACTTCCCAGAATCGGCACGTATACGTTTAACGACAAAGATTTACATTTTCGTGCAAACACTGCACGCATCATTTAACCTCTTTGTTGCGCGTCACCACAAAAGACAGCTCTAGACCAAAAAAAAAAAAAAAAAAAAAAAAAAAAAAAAAAAAGAACTGTCGCTAAATAAATTTCACATTTCATCTCCGACGACAGCACATTTACTCACCTTACAAGTTCCATTTAAACGCGTAACGTTAACTCCAACGGTTGCTTGTGTAGATGAAAACGTAGTTCAGAGCTCGTCTTCCAGATACACACTAATCTACAAAACAATCGCTCTTAAATATCATTCGGGTGATGAACTATACAACTGAGCGAGCATTATGAGCAGTAATCCGGAAGTAGAGAACAAGTAACGGTCTCAGGACTCCGGTCTTCCTGCCGGCAGAAACGAGTGGATCATCCGTGTAGGATGCTGGGTTTATACAATGTATTGTCTATTAGATCAGTGCATTCACTCAGATATTGGACGCATGCCATATGTTCTAGCATTTGCTAGCAAAGTTTTTTTTTTTTTATTTAAATAAGACTCATAATGGTATAGACACCATTTATCGATGTGCATTATTTTATGTTAAGACATCAAACCTACAAGGAGACCACCACAATACAGATTAATGAAACTAACCACTCTAGTATCTCTTAAATTATAGTTACCAGATAACTATACACAACACAAATTAAGGTTTTGTTCACATTTTTATTAAGACATTTATCCATACATCTAAAAAGCACATACAAAATTCTGTAACACTATATTCAGTGTTTTAAAATTACATTTGCACATTAGTAACACGCAGAAGAGCACTTTCCAAACTGTATACCACCAAATGGACTTGGTCTTCTTACATCTGCAAATAAAAAAATAACCAAGATATAAAAGGTGCACCATATCAAAGCATACATCTAGGCTTCTCATTACTCCAGTCTTTGTACGAATCTATGCCATTATAAATGCAATTCATTACAACCACCACATGCTAAAAACAATAGTCACTAACAGGGTATCATATATACACAAGATTATTGGACTGAAACGAACCACAAAGAAAAAAAGAAAAAAAAGGGGTAGAAAATGAAAGGGTCTCACCTCTTACGAAGCCACACCATCTAACACTCTTACCATCGGTGAAAGCTGATAGAAACACAAAGGAACATTAGTAACAAGCATCGTACCTTAAAGGGGCACTTGCAACAGAACAGCAATGCATTTTATGGACGACCGTTTGGTGAACCTAGGAAAGGAGGTAATTCTGACTTCGCTATGACAATCTGGCGCTTCTGAATCAGCTACTGTTTTGTTATTAGTTTAAGTATTTGCTATTGACTGTTCAAATGCGGAGTTTTCCGCATTGTGTGTGTGCGCGCGAGAGCGCGAGAGAGAGAGAGCGAGAGCGAGGGGTCACATCACAGTGGAGTCAGCAGTCTTAACCGTGGCTTGTGTACTGCAAACACATACCAGCTTCATCACTGCGTCTGTCACGCGACTCTGTTCCCCTTTCGGGCTCCGTCTTTACATTTATTTTGAAAGCTGAAGCTCGCGATTATGGTAAGGGGCGTTACATTTCCGACGAGTGCTTGCGGTGTTCGGCCAATCACAATGCACTGGGTCAGCTGGCCAATCAGAGCAGACTGCACTTGTCGGAAGGAGGGACTTTGTAGAAAACGAAGCTTTTGAGAGAGGCGGGGCATAGAGGACCTACAATAATGTACAGTATTTGAAAAATAATGTGTTTTTTGAACATTAAAGCGTCAACATTCTGTTACACCAAATACACAAAATAATGATCTTTAAAAAAAACATTATATGACCCCTTTAAATGCCACACACCACAAGTCAAAGTTTCCACATTTTGACCAATAAATTTCCATGTATATTGTAGCAAGTTGCTAAGTGGGATTCAATTTCACACAAAATGGGGCGGGGCTTATTCACGTTTGTATATCATATGGTAGCCTAATTCAAGTTATAGAACCACATTAGTATACACAATAATGGGCCTGGATCCATCTAGGCTAACAAGACTAAACTCTACAAATTTCCAAAATCTCTAACATGGTGAAAAAGGGATATATATATTGTACCATACTCACAAAAACCACATTTGTCAAGCAAAAGAGCCTCAGACTAGAATTTATAATCAGCTGCTGTAATACAGCGTTCATACGAGGTGTCAGAAAAGTATTAGAAGTCATCAGCGGCTCCAACTCGGTCACATTTATTCAAGACCAAGTGTGTGGACCAAGCTTAATTCACTTACCACTAACTTAACCCTTCGTTGCGTTCATTACGATTTATAATCGATGCATCAAACGCAGATGTTCAACAGCCTAAAACGCCTATCTCGCGAATCATCCGAGGCCACGTGCTTCATCAGTCCCATCACGAGGCAGACTGGAAACTCTACAACCAGAATATAGAGAAGTTTAACATGCAGTTCATGAGTAAACCCAACTCAAGCATCTCAAACGAAAATCTAGTTCAACGAAATCACACGCAACGAAGACCTTAAATTTAGACATCATTACTCAATCTTTAGTGATGGTCTTAAATCATTATCATTGCCTTATTAAGAGAGCGTTGAGGTACTAAACTGACAGCGAAAGAAGAGTACTTACATGATTGCAATCACAAAGCAACTTTCTGAAGAGGACATGTTGCACTGCAACATTCTCACCACACAAAAGTTCGCTGAATAAAGACGAAGGATTGACTTTATGCCACGGTTTTTATAAGAAGTCTTATTTGTGCCCTCCACTAGCGTATCAAAGATGCGTTCAAAGCTCTTGTATTCCCTCTGCTGGTTGGCTTGAGTCTTTGCATAAAATACAGACATTGACCCCAAAATAACAAGTATCCAATAACAAGTTATTTTTATTAGTTTTTCTCAGTCGCTTTGGTGCATTTCTCAAATCAGAAATTAAATTCTCAAAACTACTTGTACAACCTCCTAGGTGCAGTGCTGTGAGTGCTCTAGAGCAGTGTTTGGAGACGCTCCTCCATACAGTGCTGCTTCATGCTGCTCCAGGTGACCCCCTGCAGTGTTTGTGCGGCTCAGAGTCTCAGATAGCAGAGATAGGTGCAGTGCTGTGAGTGCTCTAGAGTAGTGTTTGGAGACGCTCCTCCATACAGTGCTGCTTCATGCTGCTCCTGTGTGTGTGTGTGTGTGTGTGTGTGTGTGTGTGTGTGTTTCAGTCTAACATAAAACCAGAATAATGTATCTGTGAAGAAGAAGAAAGAAGTGAAAGTCAAGAACTTGAAATTGCTGTAGTCGTGCCACTGTCAATACGGTAGTGAGACCTTCAACATTTAATGTCACATTTGATTCAGCACATTATGTAAGTTATTCTTAAAGACATTTATGCATTTAAATGAGTGTTAGTCTGCTCCACCTGAATGGAAGTGTTTCAAGATGATGAAAAGACAAATAAAATACAACAACAATGGAGAGTTTTTGTTCTAATATTTCATGGCTGTTTGACATATTCTTGCCTGGTCAAACTTATCCAATGTTGTTTCTTTTGATTGTGATCCTCCCCATTGTTTATCTTCCTTTTTTATCTGTATGATAAAGCACCAATGTTATGTAAATTCAACAGAGAGGCAATAAATATAAGGAGAATTGCTATGTGTAACACCCCTGTGGACTGTTTGTTGTGGTTTCTTCCCTTTGTGTTGGTTTAGCCCGTCTAATCATTAGTTAATCACCGTCATTGTGCTCACCTGTCTGCCTCTAATTATTCACCCCATATTAGTTCCTGTCTGTCTGAGCATTGGTGTCGGTTATTGTTAATGTTACCCCGAGTGTGTGTCCCACCTACCTGAACCTGCCTTGTTGTGTCTACAATAAATGTCATTATTGGAATCCTTGTCGTCCTCGTCGTCCTGCCTGCCTCCACACACCCGTTTCCGTGACACTATGTGTTCTTCTTATGTTCTTCCGTCTCTTAGTGTGGCACCAGTAATAATCAGATGGTGATTTATTTAGCTTCGGGCATGCAAACTTTCATTTTCACTTTTAAACATGTTATCTGATAATATCCTATTTACAAGGCACCAAAGGAGGTAACTGAGATGTGTTTTTTTTTTTTTAGAAATATCAAATAACCTGGAATAAATACATAAATGCATAAACATTAAAATGTTAATTTCTCTGAATTGGTACATTGTGAAATAGCTAGAGAAACAAATGTCTTGATTCTCCCCTCGAGACTCTAAATCCCTTAAGATCACTTAGGAATATTAAAAATGTTGTACAAGCAATCTGTATTGTGGCATGACTTGTCTGGAGTGCTGAATTACAGAATGTGCAAACCAGTCCATATGAGCTCTTTTAAATGCTTGAGGCACCTCTACTATAGGTGTGTGATTCAAAAGATGATATCATTGGCTGCTTCACAAGTCATGCTTTTTGGGTCATTCAACAGCCAGGAGAATGGGACTGAGTACAGGTGGCCCAGAGGTTTTGGGGGGCCTACTACATTACTCCCTAAGAGTCACTGCCATTTTAACCGAATACATGATAAAACATCTAGGTTATTAAAGAAATGTTAGCACTATTTTGTGTGAAAAAAAAAACATCCTGACCAGCAATATAGCATATAATGGCACACTGCAACCACTTTTTGTGGTATATGGATCTGCAATGTTTATGGAGAATAAAACAACATGGTTAACTTAATGTGATTTTTGTTAGATAAATTTGGATATTATTTGTGGAAGAAAACTGTAAATATTCTATAACTAATTATTAATCATTTGCTTATGCATATTCCAAACTACCTCAAACAAAAGTTTAATAACATTCCTTAATATGATTCAAACCAAAATATAAATGGCCGTTTAAAAAAAAAAAAAAAAAAAAAAAAAAATGCATGACCAAACTGTCGGATGCCACTGTGGTTATATTCATAACAATTTATTTATAATAATTCCACATATTCGCAATGGTTTTTACATGGAAGAGGTCTTTGATGATATTTTTTTTCATCAGGGTCAAACAAACACATTTGCCATCTGAAGGTTTACACAAAATTACAACTGATTATTACACAGTTTTACACTGTAAACGATTTCATACTCCAACATCTATTCCATTGACTTTGCAGGGTCATAATCAAGGACAACATTGTCATGATTGTCGGAAAATGTTCAGTTCCGTTGTATCCCAGATGGCTGGTTTTAAAGTATCACTTATAAAGCTAAAATTAATAACATGGTGCATGGATAAAAAATATTGCTCTGTAGTCTTATACATCTTGTGATGACATAGTTTTATATTATCTAATTTTAGCCACTTGTACAGAATATGCAACTTCTCCTGTCAGCAAGCCTTTTTTTGTTTGCACGACAAAACAGGAATAATTGCACTGTCCAAGAGATTAACACACACTCAGCCCTTACAAAAAAAGTACTGTGGTGGTACTAAGGTATCAGATGGTAATACAACAGTACTGTATGATTACCATATACATGTACTGTAGAATTAACATGATCATCCAAGCTACTTCAAAAATACCATGGTACCATGTCCAAAAACATGGCACATTTTTTGTAAAAGAAAACAAACATATAGTCTCTTTCCCAAAACTATAAACATACACTTCCTAATTCTCTCACTCTCAAATTGACCTCCCCTCCAAACACACACACATAAACACTTATTAGAGCACATTAGGAATGAGCAGGTGTCTGTAGCATTCCATATTGATGCATTCCATACTCTAGACTATCAATGATAACTATAACCTATATGTCATATATACACTACTCTTTCCAGCATCTTATTCTGAATTCTGTCTATATCTATGTATTATACCATGGGCAGGGTGGGATTTGTCAATGCAAGAACTACACTACACAGTCAAACATTCACACACACTGACAACAACAACAACAACAACAACAGCAACAACAATAATAACATACATAAAGATTACAATATACCTTTTCAAGTCCAAAGCTTTTCTTCATTATACTTCAAGGGAACAAAGAAATCTTGCACAAAATAGTCCAAAAAAGTCTGAATATCTTCAGGGTCATAAATAGGGTTGTGCTCTTCATATATTTAGTCCAAACCAAGTGTTTAGTACATTTTCCAGCTGAAGACCACAAGGTGAAATTCAAAGTTCCCCTTTACAATGTGGACAAGCTCTCAGCAGAGATGTGGAAAAGAACAACACAGCTTCCTAACATCATATAAGAGAAAACGACTTACCTTTACTGCTCTTACCACTGCCATCAAGAGAAATATTCATCGATATTCAACTCTCACCCAACATGTAGTGCACACATATACACACACTCATACATACTAGCATTTCTCTGCTTAAATAATATCTAGAAAGCTTGTCACATAGTTTCTCTTAATTTTGTGCTTATCTCTGGAAGCAGCATGACAGCAGGTCAGGATACATACTTGCAGTACCTACTCTGGCCACTAGAGGAAAGGCTGGTGGAGAATGAAAGGGTTTGAGAAAAACATTAGTCAACAATTAGGCTTTTTCTTAGAGATGCTCAGTTGTAGTTTGACTTTTAAACATGTCGGAATGGAAGAGATTCATTTGCCCTATTGAGTTTCCAATCCTGCTGAGATGGCATCCTGGTGGTCCTCACTGAGAAACTTCAAGAAGCTTAAGTGTGTCACACTCCCTATGGAATCTGGTTTACCTTTGGGCTTTTAATCTAACATGGCCTCCAACTGATCCGCAAGATCATCAAACATGCTGCCAATGTCATCGAGAATGTTGACTGTGCTCTTGTTGTCCACAATGGAGCTGAAGAGGAAAAGAAAGAGAAACTAGAGTAAACAGAATGGAAGAGATTTCAACAAGTAACATCATCAGAAGAAAGATGATTTGAAGAAAATTATTTGTTTAGTGTTTGTACCTGTCATCCTTCTTAATCTTCTCCTCCACTACTTCCAGAGCAGCAGCCAGGGATGCACTGGTCTCCTCCAGTCTGAGTTGTACCATGTCCCCCACAGCAGAGCCCCCTGTTTCAGCAACCTTCAGTAACCCTTGGCTTTCCACCTCTGTCTTTCCTTCTCCATCTTGTGGTTCACCCTCTACTGGTGTCTGTCTGGCTACACCTACCTTCCTCCTTCTCATTACCACCGGTCCTGCTCCCTCCCCTGTATCTGAAATCAGGCCTTGTTCACCTTGAAACATTTGATCCACCTGGATCAGACCTGTCCTTTCCATTCTAGCAATTCCAACTTCCTCTATTCTTTCTTGCCTCCTACCATCATCTTCCTCTCTTTGTTTCTCTACTTCTCTTAGCTTCTTTTGCACATCCATTCCAGGCAGTTCTACTTCCAGAGGGCTTGGGATGTCCACTGAGAGACCAGCCATGGAAGACCTCGGGGGCTTCACTGGAGCTGATCCTGAACCTGGTGTAGAAGGTGTTTGTGGGGTTTGGGGTGTCTGAGGAGTCTGTGGGCTCTGAGCTGGAGACGTTGCTGCACGTGGGGAAAGCATGCTCCCATCCATTGGTTTTGGGGTGACTGGGCTCAAAGTCTGTGGTGGATGCTCCAGTTGCTCAGATGGAGCTTGGCTGAAGGAGGCACTGGATGGACTGAGAACATCTGCCTGAGGAGAGCCAAGAGTTCCGATTGTATGGATTGGTTTGATTTTTACCGGTTTGGGCAGTGTAGGAGGCAGACTTGGCTTGGGAGATACTGGAGGTGGGACTTTCTTAACCTCCACTATATAGAAA